CAGAAAGATTTATTTTCTATTGGACATCTCAGTCCTAGAGTTTGAGTAAAACCTTTTAGATTGCAGTAATCTTTAGAAATTAAAACTATGACAGACAAGACTTCTTGTTTGGCTGGATATGAAACTCAGATTTATGTGTTATTGTATTGCCCAGTATCTTAATTATGGTCTAAGACATGTGTTTCATACTAAAAAATAGTAAAAAATTCCACAACCTGGAAACACAAAAATGTATAGGAAAAATTAGGAAACAAAGAGTAACTGTGTGAGTAAACTAGATGGGTAATGCTTTCAGTACCACTCTGATAAGTCTGCATTGTAGCAGGACTACTACAATTGTATGGTTGCTAGTTATCATGATTCTGTTTAAACGGCAAGGACTGAATAAGACACCTTCAGGATGCCACTTTGCCCCATAAACTCAGCCTGCATATGAGTATTGGCAGGTTGAAGAATAAATGCAAATATGTCTGGAATCTGTTTGGGATGGAAAACCATAAGCAACCTTGACACTTACCATGTATTTGATGCAATGGGCTGGTCAACAGTGCAGATCTTCAAGTGGAGTTGATGCAAACTAGATGGAATTTCAAGCATTTCCCTGGTAGTATCTTAAAGCAAGTTCTGCAAAGTGGAATAACCTTTTTGTAATATTGTGAAAGCACACTGCACAGTGAAATAAAGCATAACTCAAATGGTCTTGACTCCAACAATAATAAACAGGGACATGCTATCCAATATTTAAGCCCTGACTGCCTAATCATAGGTTTATTTATTATTATAACCCATTATTAAATGGTGCTCTTGGTGGATAATGCTTCTCAGGAAAACTCCCTGTAAAGTTAAAAATCTATCATACAGGGAATTTCAAAAAGAAACAAATGCAACACAAACCTGTTGGAGATAACACTACTTTCTGGAGTAAAATCCAGCATCTTGGAGCGCAGCAAACTTCGGGTTACACATTCAATTAAGTTTTATGATACTCTTGAAGATGTGGCAGTGGCGCAATGAAGTTACCCGTGACAGCAGCACAAATACGTGTCTGCCTAAAATGACCCTGTGCAGTTTTTGTTAAGGTTTAAGAACGAACCCTGAACAGCAGCCGCACTGCGCTCCCGGGAAGGTGCCGGGAGAGGAGCTGGGAGATCCTCCTGCTCCCTCTCCAGGACATCGGGGTTAATTGCAAATAAATCCTTCAGCTCCGCGTCTCCTGCAGCCTTCCCATGGGCAAGGAAAAGAGCAAACCCCAAATGTCACAGGCATAAGCCTAGGACTGAAGAATCTCCAATACAAAGTTAGTCACAATATGAAACATAGTGAGAGAGGGACGCAGGCGATTCTGAGCACTCCTTAGGAAACACTGTCAAGCTCATCTCTTGTCGAAGGTTTTTCTAGCAGAAGAATGGCATGTGCTGACAAAGAATCACAGAATCATTAAATCATTTAGGTTGGGAAAAAACCCTCAGATCATCGAGTCCAACAGCTAACCCAGCACTGACGAGCCCACCACTAAACCATGTCCCTCTATACCTCTTAAATATCTCCAGGGATGGTGACTCAGTCACTTCCCTGGTGTTCCGCCAATTGATGGGGGCAACAGAGGAGGACTGCCTCCTGTGTGAGGGACCCCATGCTGGAGCAGGGGAAGAGTGTGAGGAGTCCTCCCCCTGCGGAGGAAGGAGTGTCAGAGACAAAGCATGATGAACTGACTTGCAGCTCCCCTTCCTCATCCCCCATCCCACTGCACTGTTGGGGCAGAGAAGGAAGAGAGATTGGGTGTAAAGTTGAACCCAGGAGGAAGGGAGGGGTGGAAGGTGTTTTTAAGATCTATTTTTTATTTCTCATTATATTGATTTTATTGGCAGTAAGTAGAGATAATTTTCCCAAGTCAAGTCTTTTTTTCTCCCTGGAAATATTCAACAACCATCTGGATGCAAACTGGATCCATGTGCTCTAGGATGGCCCTGCTTGAGCAGGGAGGTTGGACCAGATGACCCACTGTGGTCCTTTCCAACCTAACTGATTCTGTGATTCTGGTTTGCCCATGACAGTCGCTGGTGAGTGATCTGCCCTTATACAAACCTACAACATACTTTCTCTCCCCTGCCCAGCTGAGCAGGGCAGTGACAGAGCAGGTTTGGTGGGCAACTGGCATCCAGCCAGGGTCAACCCACCACACTGAGTGTAGTGCTGTAACTCTAAAACAATAGATTACTTCATGCTTTACCAGAACAGCACAGTTATCCTACTGTCTTCTGAGAACCTCATAGTTAGGAGCTGGAAACCATAAAAGTGAGGAGACCTAGTGACCAAAGTAGGAGCCATTTTAATGAGTAAAGCAAATGAACAGGTGATGAGAATTGTAGTTAAGAGGCTAAACAGCTGAAAAGGAGCTTCATCAGTATAAAGGTGGCAGCCTTTCTGCTTAATCTAAGATTGAGGAGCCAGAAGGGCTTTGGTTTTCATGCAAAACTGATGAAGGAGATTTTTGTTTGTGTGCAACTATAAAGGAAAAAGTACCACAAGTAGAGGATGAGTAAATGTACAATGGAGCTGAGTCTGATACAGAGGTGAGAACTCTATGGCTGCTAAACATAAACGGTCTTACTTAAGGTATTAAAAGTATTAACTTTTCTGGATTACCTTCCCCACCTTTCTGGCTGTGACTAAGGAAATCCCATATTCTAATTTCTGAGTCTAGAACTGTTACTTTAAACTTCACGTTAGTTTAATATCCAGACCAGAATTTTCTGGGTAAGAAATTTGTTAGTAAGATGTTGTTACAGATGAAACTGGTGCTAATTCCTGTTCTTCTCTTGCAGATTGCTGCTAATAGGAGTGTTAATCTCTGAAGTATGGACCCAAGAGAGACCAGGTAATGCTGCTGTAAACTGCTTTCACATCAGAGTTCCCAGGCTTTGCAAAGGTGGTATCTGTGGTTTTGTGTGCGTTTCAGAAGAGCCTGAAGCTCTTGTGGCAACCTTACTTGCACGTATTTCTGAGAAACTGCAAATATACATGGATCTGCTGGTAACTACTCATGGCCACTCTTTCAGTTTATGCATCTTTAGGTTTAAGCAAATATTTCTACCTTTCCTCACTCTGGATGCAAGTACTGATGAACTAATAAGCACTTTGTTCTTAGTTTATTTAGCTTAGATATTGTTATTCACAATACAATATGTAAGCTCTTTTAAATACATCATAATTTAAGCCTGCCTGGTAGCTAAGTACCAGGCAGCTGTTTGCTCATTCCTCACCCCCTCCCACCTCAGTGAAATGAGGAGGAGAGTCGGAAAATACCTCATGGGTTGAGGTAAGCACAGTTTAATAACTGGAACAAATTAAAATACAGTAATAATAATTATTATACTAATAGTAATTTTAATTTGAATAAAATAAAACCGAAGGGAAACAAGCAGCGCACAGTGGCTCACCGCCTGCTGATTAATGCCCAGACTGCCCCCCAAGCAGTGAGTGCCTCTTAGTCAACTGCCCCCAACTTATATACTGGACATGACATTTTATTGTATGGAATATCCCTTTGGCCAGTTCAGATCACCTCTACTTGCTATGCTCCCTCTTGTTTCTTGTGTGCCTCTTTATTGACAGAGCATGAGACACTGAAAAGTCCCTGACTTCAGGTAAGCACTGCTCATCAACAACCAAAACTTGAACATGTTATCAGTGTTACTCTCATGCTGAATATAAAATGCAGCTCTGTATCAGGTCCTAGGAACAAAATTAACTCTATCCCAGCTAAAACCAGGACAAAATATTATAAAGATATTCAGGCTTTGTCTGAGAAGAAACAGTTTTCTGAGCCAAAGCTATTGTCTGTTTTAACTCCTTCCTTACAAAATAGATCTGGTCCTAGAACAGCAGATGCAGAGAGATGGTTCTAGGACTGTCTGCCCTACTCACTGCAGGTCCTGCATTAAACATGTTGGCAACCCCCAAAGATTAAAATAAAAAGAACTGGAGAGGGTTTTATCCATCTTGGAGCAATCATATAGCTTCTGCTCTGAACCCAGTTGGTAGCTTGGAGTATGGGCAGAATAGGGTCATGTTCACCAGCATTGTCTGAGGTTCCCTAGAATTACCATCTCTGACATGGGAGTTGCATCTCTGGTTAACTTAAGACTACAGTGCTGAACCCTCTGGGAAAAAGGATCCTCACAGCCCTTAAAATGTACCATGATTGTAAAAGGTCTAGTTGGCATTAGCTCATCATGCTGTAGAAACTTCTGTTTGAAATAACAAATCCCTGTTTATCAGAAATAAATGTCAAATGAGAAGTTGTCTCTATTCCTACAGTTAGAACAGTTTCCACCTGCTTCCTGCATGTAAGTTTGGGAGCCATAGCCTGGTTTATGTTGTGGTGATAGCTTGGGACTGGGTCTTCTTGAGCCATTCTCTTTGTTCCTGTGTGGTCATCTCCCAGCATGAGCCAGCTTGCTTCTGGTACTGGTACTCGGGCAAGCAAACAGGGTTGACTGATGGGACAGTGGATGTGGCTGCTCCCTACCTGGGCTGGCTTGTGGCTCGTCTTGTGAATAGATGTGTATAGGTGGAGGGGGTTTTGTTTTGTGGTTTGTTTGTGGGGTTTTGTTGGTGAGGATTTTAGTCTCTTTCCAGGAGGGTGGGAGACTTTCTTATTCATTTCATTTAAAGTGTTCAGATTGGGGTGGCCAATTTAGTAACTTTCTGACCCTCTTCCAAAAAGCTCTTTCCTTGACTGGCTGTTGCAGGTAGTGTTGGCAGATGATCAGATGCTTTTACTACTGGGATATTAATTTCAGGGCTGGCTTTTCTCCTGGAATTATTACCAGTATATTGTTATTATTACCACTTTAAAAGCAACTTCTAACACCTTCTGACCAGATATGCTGCTGTATGACTGACTTTACAAAGCAATCTGGGAAGCAGCAGATTTGTTTGTATCATATTTTCAATCCCCTACTTACCAGCCTTTCAATATGTTCCACACAGGACCCATGAGTTCAGAGTGCTTGGGGAACATTCTGCGGGTAACACTGAGTGTAGAATACTTTGAGGACAAATACTTATCTTTTTCTGTTGTTGGTAAGTTAATATAGAAGAACTTGGAGAGGGAATTACACATGATGAAATGTTTAAAATTTCCCTGAGATCTTTCTATACTAGAATTCCCTGAATTATTCTAATATCATAGAGATTAATAGGTTGGATGTCATTGTAAATAAAGCCAAATGCTACCTTGATTTCTGTATAACTTCTATTGTAGACTTGCTGTGTCATAACTTAGCCATGATTAGACTTGATATTTCTGCCTTTGGAGTCAAATTGAAATGCACACGGTAGTTTGTAGGGATGTTAATGCTGGTGTATTTCCTTCCTGGTATAAATGTTCTCTGGCAACAACACACACTATTCTGAAAATTCACTAGTTGAAACTCTCGCTACATTACGGATTTTTGCACTAGTGGCTTTTCATTTTCTTGGCTTACAGCTTGGTGAAGGCATATAAATACTTAATGAAGTTTAAGAAAAATTAGCTGGGCCCTCTGGCTATGGGCTTAGTGTAGTCAACAAGTGGTGTGTTCAAGTGAAAAACACCACAGAGGGCACAGTGAGGTTAACTTTTGGGCTATAAACACCTGGTGTAAGATTATATGTATAAAATGTAAATCTGGCCTTGAACTAGCTCTGCATACTAGTTAGGTGCCTAACTATGTATAGTCCATAACATTCTTTTTCCCAGAATGTTAAACTTGTGTCAAAACCCACTTAAAATATGCTCTTTGTTCAGGCATCTTCATGCAAACACAAAGACACTGTGCAGCTGGGATATGCACATCTTGAAACTATCTTCCAATTATTTTTGGGAGAAAAAACAAGCAACACAACTAAAACAGAAAACAACAACAACAAAAAAATAAAAGCTCAAAAGCACAAAGATAGTTTTGTAGGCTAAAAAAATCCAAGCAAGTGTGTTCATCATCCTGGTAGATTGTGTCCTGAAGAGAGTCTGCTGGCCAGGCAGGCATCAGAGGAACACAGGCCTGTGACAGACACAGGTCAGACTTCTGAGGTTGTTAGATTGTCATCTCTCAATCCTGACAGCTTTGACACTGATGACCTATCTAGCTGTTCTGTGCTTACTGGGGCTTTTCACCCCTTAGAATTTAATATCCTTCCATGATGGTGGTTTTGGGGTTTTTCCATCTTGAGTCTTTGAGCTGTGAGTGTTCCCTGTCCTAGTCTGTCTGTAATTTTTCTTTTCTTTCTTTCTATAGACTTTGCCACAGTTCCTTTCACCACTTTGCAGTTCTCTCATGTCTGACCTGAGGGTATGCAGCTGGGCTGTGTCAGAGCAAGTTCAGCTGAACCCTGGGGCAAGGGCAGGTTGCTCAAGGAGTTTGCAGAGCAGAACTTACACTTGGTAATACGGTCTTTAACTAATTGTCCGTAGATCAGTCTGGCATAGCCTGGGAGCTAGATGAGGCCATGGCAGCACAGTGTGGATATACAGTAACTTACAGCAATTGGAGTACCATGGAGTTTCGTGCTTCTGCACTAAGCTGCCATTCTCACTTAGAGGTAAGTCTATTATGGACCTTTTGACTACAGAGCTGTTGGATGTGACCTTTATGTGAAAAATTACCAATTGACTAATTGAGGTGTCATAGTGTGTTGAACATCTATTAGCAGAAAATTATTTTATTCTCCTCAAATGTATCCAGAGGCCTGAGAACATTCCATGGTACTGACATTGGGATGGCCTACAGATGAACACATGAAAAATATCTCATGTGCCTTAGAAGGGCAGGTGTTTTTCTCATGGATAAGACTAGGCAATTCTGTCTGGCAGTTGTGTTGCACTCTGATATAATAATATTGAATGTCTGAGACACATTAGGGTAAAAGCTCAAGCTTTGGCTACTTGTGTTCCTGGATCATTGCTATGTCATAAAACACAAAATCAGCTATATTTTAGGGATTTTGCTTTTCTTTGTCCAGTTCTGAGGCTATGCAAAAGGTTGAAGCTACTGCCCAAAGTGTTTGTGTTGCTATGTAGCTATATACCTGTATACATAAAGCCTATGTAGTTAATCAGGTGGAAAGAGATAATGCTGCAGTATGGAGATGCTCTTCTGTGCAGAAATTTGGTGGGTGGGGTTTGTAATTTACTTTAAGGTCACAAGAATAGGTGGTGCCTAAGCAGTGATAATTGATCTATCAAGTGTTCCTTGTGTCCATGCAGAAAGATGTGTTCACAGTAACTATACAAATCAAAGCATCTCATACTCCTGATATGGAAAATGTTACAGTTCATCTGAAAAGTGCAAGTTGCCACTATGATCCATGGACTCCAAGAGAGTTAGTATGTGAAAGTAACTACATGTCGGTAAGTACTTAAGGGAAAGTACTTAAAGCAAGGAGGTAAGTACTGTAAGATGCTCTCTTTGAAGCTGATTAGGTGCTAGGCATATCTATTGGAAATAGAATCTGAATGCTCTGCCATGAACAGCATGCATCTTGAGCTTTGTAGTGTGTTTATATTATGTTTATATACCCTATTTGTGAGCACTAATTGCTAATAAAGTTGTGAAATGGTATCAAAAAGGTTAAGCTAATGGATTGAACTCACTGAATGTTGCCTCAACAAACCTTACTTGAGATAACAGAAATGTATGCTTTCTGAAGGAAGTTTCCCTACTGAATAACCAGGGGAGAAATGCAGATGGGAAAATGGACCTCTTTTGGAAGAGGGCATGGGGGTCAATAACAAATTCCTGGTCTTCATTGGAAGGAGAAATGAGAAGATAGGCAGAAAATAAAAAGAAACTGAAATCTAGAAGACTACAGATAATGCAGCATGCTTGGTGGCATCTTCTGTCATAATTTTTATTTGCCAGAAGGAAACCTCCCTCTAGGAAGTGGTGGTTTTCTTTGAAAGAGATGTTGAAGACAAAGATACAAGTGCTATTACCAAATTCTTTACAGATGCTTTTTCCCTTCAGGTTTCCATTGGGACGGAGATTCCACAGACTGTAAAAGAATTAATTCAAGACAAATCTGAGGATTGGACTCTTGCCTTTCCAGAAGTAAAACTATAGGTTTTCTTTCTAGTAAAAGCTAGTGCTACCTCTGACAAAATCATCCTTCTATTTTATAAACACGTAGTACAAGATGTCCTTGCAAAAAGTACTTAGGAAGAGCAGAACTTCTGTACCAATTGGTTTTAGTTTATTTTTATAGGTTACAAATGCAAACAGCTGTAGTCCATGTCTCTAAGGAATAAATCAAGGCTTCCCCAGGCAAGAGACTGCAACAAAAACCTTATGGCCCAGGAGAGAACTGTGGAGATGCTTTTGTCTTCTTGGACCCTGTATTTGCAATGCAGCAGTGCAGTAATCTCTGCTCTTAATATGGAAAGTTTTCTATGTGTGAGGGAGGGAAAGCTGGAGGGATATTCCAATAGTAGTATTTAGAGCAAGGCAGCAAAGTTGCTGTGCAGTCCAATTCAGTAAATCATGCAATATAGTAAATATGTTAGTTTAAAATATTGATGAATTTCTCTGGATAGGCAAAGGGAGAAGCCTCAATATGGCAAATAGTGTTTCATCAGCCAGAAGAAAAAAAGGCTCTGCTTGTGAGTGATGCCTGGAGTGCAGGCTATGGGCTCAACACCACAGATACCAGGGTTCTGCTGCGAATACCATATACTGCTGCACAAGTTCAGCTGATCAAGGTTGGTGTGTGCTTGTTCTGGCCCAGCAATCTGATAGGCTCTGTAGGTTTAACCAGATTTCTTCCTACAGGATCAGGGAATTACCTTTTCTGTGGTGAGATCAAGTACATTTTACAAATATCAGTGGATGATCCTGATGGTGGATACTGCTGTGGCATGTGCTGTAGGTAAGAAATGTAGTACCCTTCTCCAATGCTGAAATGTACAGGGACTGACTTGTATCTAGAGTAATGAGCTGACAGCTTTCATATCTTGTCCCTAAGATGGTGTGGACTACACAAACAAAACAATCATCTGGACTGTTCCAAAGTATATTCCACTGCTCTCCACTGGAGAGACTAGCTTTAAGGATGTTCTTGTGGAAGTTGGTGTGGATCTACACAAACTCTCTACAGAAGAAATGGCTTCCAGGAAATATGTGTTATTGAATGACTTAAATGCAATTACAATGAAGATTCCTGTAGGTGCCAAAGGTGGCTATTACAAGGTTGGTGACTTGCGTTAGGTGCAAGGCAAGCAATGTTCTGAGGTTGGTTAATTGAGGGGTTTTTTTCTGGGGAGGAGTAATTCTTTATCGTGTTCCTTTCAAATGAAAGATGGGGGTGTGGAAGAAGAAAGGGTTTATCAAAACTTCAGAAACCCTGGCCAAAGATAACTCTTGTAGGCACCACTTTATGAAGAATTTCTTTTCTTGGAAGCACTGATGGACAGAATCCTACACAGAACTATTGATTTGCCTCTTTCCTCAGGCTGATAGAAAGCTTTCACCTATTAGTCCTGATGTCATATTCCTTGGAGGCAGTCCTAACTGGACTGTAAAGCATGCATGCATGGATTCTGTTGTATTTCACACAGACCACTTAAGAGTGTGAGAACAACCCATTTGTCCAGCAGACCATGTGATATTGAGGTGGGCTCAGACTACACATCTAAATCTAGTTGCTTGAAGTGAACTTAGTTCTGGGCAAACTTAACAACTGAACTTCCAAAGAAGTTGCAGAAGAAGCCCTTTCACTCTGAAATGGTCCCCTGCTGCTTTGAAACTTGGGAGTAGGAGACAGTTTTCCAAAGGAATTCTTCGGAGTATGCTGAGATAATCTAAATTCACAGGGATACAGCAAGTGCCACAACTGTTCAGAGCTGTAGTTTTAGCTGACCTTCAGATGCTTCAATATAACTTTTTAATGTAAAATCATGCTATACTAAAGGGTGTTGATTTGAAATTCTAGACTTCTGTGACCAATGGACAATTTGGGGCAAAATATACCATCAACCTATTCTTGGAACAGCAGTGGGAAGATAACAAATGGGGACGAACCAAACATACTATCATCAAGGAAATAGAAACACCATTTGAACAAGTAGAACTTTCTATAACCAACAGTAAGTAGCTGAAATTGAATTTACTGAAGAGTTTGGTACTGTTAAGAACTTAATGTTGTTTTGTTCCTTCTCAGACTCAAACCTGAGTGCCAGGCTAATGAATGTGACAGTAGGAACATTCCTCCCAGATGTGGAGCTTGTGACCTTAACCATTGAGGGTGTAACTGTTGCTGTACCTGAAGCTGTTCAGCAAGGTTATCTAATATACAGCATGAGATATGCTAATGGAAGCAAAGCCTACATAATAGAAGTCCCACTTGATGCACCAAGTGTTAAAAAAGAGGTGTGTACTAAGATACTGCATCGTACCATGATACAGAAATGATGATATCACTTGGTGATTTTCATGTCTAAATATGATTTTCCTAGTACATGAGAGCGGACATGAGAGCATACACCCTGAATATCACACTTGCATTCATAACCCATCCATCAAGTGAGAACTTCATTGTCCCAGTCATTGCACTGTCAACTCTGAAAGATGCAGGTAAAAGTGAAACTTGGGCAAAACTGTACTAGCCTGGCTGTGAACTCTGCTGTTAACTGGGCTGTCAGTCCCAAACAGCTGTATTAAACTGATGGCAGCTAGCATGATGTCTGATTCTTAGTTGTATTGCAGTACTGCCCAGTGCGAGAGGATTTTGTGATGGGAGGAACCTTCATCTCATTATCACTCATGGGAATGTGGACCAAAACTGGCTACCTTTCATCTCAGACTGGCACCTGACGCCAGAGGCTGCACGGAAGTACAACTACAGTCTGAGGGACAATGGCACTCACTTGGCTGTCTCTGTGCCTTTCCTTTCTTCCCACGTGAACTATGAGGTAAGGGTGCCAGCATGCAGCAATTAACAGGCATGCTCTAGCTGTGAGATATCAACATGATACAGTATGTCCTTGAAGGTGGAATAAAACTTCTCTTTGCCATAAACTTCAAAGGATTAGTGGAAGATTGTTTTCTGTCCTTGGAAGAGCACTATAATTTCCCTTGGTTAATGTTGGCAGAAATAGGCAAGAAAGAAAACCATGTTCTGCATTCACCTTAAGACTGAGCATTTTTATTGACAACTATACATGCAATGGAATTTGTATTGCATTCTATTGCAAAACAACTGGAAAAGCTCATTGTATGAGCTCCTGGATTAAAAAACTGTATCCCATGGATTTGATTTTACTCAAACTCCATTACCTTTGGCTTGTGATTGATTACCTGCCCTCTTAGTTTTTGAATCCTTTAATTGAACAGTGTGTCATTATTCTCTTATTTAACCTGTGATTGTCATCTCTAGGGCATTCATACCTCTGGAATAAAGGCTTCACTCTACTTAACCTTGAAGGATGGCATCACCTTGGCTAATAGGAGGGACTTCTCAGTTTCCTGCAGATTTTCACCTTCAGAGCTAATACGTAATAGCATGTTGGGGATTAGCTGTTAATACTGTTTGAGATGCAAAACTAAATCATGCAGTCTGAAATGTTTCTGGCATTTATACTTGTGTGGCACTCTACTTGCCTGTGAGATTTCCTATCAGTTAATATGCCACAAGGCAAGTCAGATTGGAATAATTGGGAGGAGGAGGTGGGAAACTCTACTTCCCCTCACACCTCCAAAATCATCATGATTTTCTTTTTCAAAGAGTTTTTGTGCTTGTTTTCAGGGTTGAATGAGGTGGAGCTTTTGGTGGGCTGTGCAGTGGATCAGCATATAAATTAGTAATTCTAAAGCTACTTATCAGTAGTAAATGTACTGAATATCATGGTTAGAAAAATCTTTTTAAAAGAGGGTGAGAGTTCCTTGTCAGCTGCCAAAGAACTTGCTACAAAATCCATGCAGAACGTCTTTGTTGCGTTATGCCACGAAACAAGTTTGAGTCCCAGTTTGCTTGGAAAATGTATATTTCTCTTTCAGAGTGTCTGCCCAATGGCACTGTGATTATTACTGCAATAAAACTGGTGGGTGTTGCAGACCTGGACACCAGTCTGTTTGTCTTGAGGGACAGACGGTGCAAACCCAGTCTAGTGACAGAGAAGACTGCAACCTTCAAGTTCAATGTAAACACTTGTGGAACAAACAGAAAGGTAAGGGCTTAGTCACATGAAGTTTGCTCTGCATTGGGGTAGGGTTATTACTAGAACTGGCAGAGGTTCTGAGTTGATCAGAAGCTGCAAGAAAGTCACAGCTGACTTTTTGTTAATTTATTACTTTTACACTCTTCTGAGGATACTAAATTCAGTCAGGTAGAAGTTCTTATTTGGTAAAAATGGTTCTTAAGGTCAGAGGTGCTTTCTGAAACTAGCCTTCAGTTTTGCACCTCTGAATTGTTTAGTAATGGACTTGAATGTGAGTTTATGCTGTTGAGATATTTTCATACGCCTTGCAGAAGCTGGTTAGGTGGTGTTAATGGCTACATGGCCAAAAACTAGAGTGTGTACTGGTCCTACCACCTAAATACTGTATAAATAGGAAAAAAAATAGACAAAATAACAAAGGACCAGAACATGCTCAAATTCAGGTTATCATAAATGCAGCTTGATTCTGCAGTGTTGTCTCCTTCTATACACTGATTCAGTCAACAGACACAACTGATCTTTTTCTCAGGCTCTGTGCACTCCCCTTCTGTGGTGCTATGTCATATTCAAGCTACTAAACGTTCTTCTTGACTATGGTATAGCTGTCATCCATGGCCACCTTTTAGTTCAGTAGACCTAGTACTGGTGGCTGGTAATTTCTGGCCATTTCTAACTGTGCTCTGCTCAGTGCAATCTGACAGTCAATTGAAAGGATGTAGGTATTGTGTCAAACACTAATGTGACTGTCCTGTTTGCAATGTTGTGTGTCTTTCAGTTCAACAGTACAACTATGGCGTATGAAAATGAGGTACTCTATTTCAGACCTGGCAATGATACACCAGCATACCAGTAAGTGTCATTCCCTAGAAGAAGGCTGTACATGTTATTTTGGTTGTAAAAATCTAATGTTAAACCTTTTCCCTCAGACTGAAATTTGTATGCTGGTATGCAATCAAGCAGACTATTGATGTCCAGTATGAATCTAAGAACCGCCCACTACCTAGTATTAAGCCAGGGATTGGCTCGCTTGCTCTTTCATTGACGCTTTTCAAAGGTAACATTTATGATTAGATTTCATAAAAATCACTGAATGGCTGAGGTTGGAAAGGACCTGAACATGATCTTATCCATCCACTCTGCTCAAGCAGGGCCACCTAGAACAGGTAGCCCAGGACCACACCTGTGTGACTTTTGAGTATCTCAAAGGATGAAGGGGAAATCTTTTGAAGGCCTCTAACAGGGTTTTTGTCCATTCCAAAATGCAATATTAATAGTCAAATACCTGTAGTGTAACAGACTTAGTAGCATCACTGACACATGTATAATTTTCCTACTTGGTCTGGGCATGATATGCATTTTGTGTAGTGGATGTGATGTTAGCTTCTCTTTCCTATCAACTCCTGAGGTATTGTTCAGCAAGTTTTATTATTGGTTGAAATAGTTCTTACTGTGTAAGAGAAGGAAACTACATGCAATACTGCTGTAAAATGAGCCTATGCTAGACAGAAGGGCTGACTGAAGCCTGAAAGAAATGTTCACCCTGACTGGAGTGGCCTTGATGAATTTTATTCCTTTTTATTTTTTAACATTTTTTGCCTTCTCATAAATTTTATTGAGACAATTTTGAATGAGCATCTTACTTTAATGAGTTCTTGCAGAAGTGCCTTGCTTGTGGATCTTCAGAGCCAAGGAATACAGTTGAGATTTTAGGTTTCATTGCTGGTTCTTACTATTCTGTCATTCTATCCCCATTTGTTGTCCCAGATTTAAATATTATGGTGGTGGAAAGAAGAGTGAAGCAGAAAGTTTACAAATACTTCTGCTGTAAGAAGAAAATTCTATCAATGCTCTCTTGTAGAGAAATCCTTTTCAGAGCCCTACCAGGAATTGGAATATCCTGTGGTAAAATACCTGAAGGAGGCCCTGTATTTTGAAGTTGAACTGCTCCAGCCTAAAGATGCAAGACTGGACCTAAACCTGTATAACTGTTGGGCTACAAACTCCCAAAGGCAGGACAGCCTTCCACAGTGGCCCATCCTTATAAATGGGTAAGGAGGGCTTCCTTCCTCTGTTTGGTAACTGTTCAGCACAGGGTCCTGTACTGTAAGTGGGAGGATAGGAGAACAGAAGTCAGCTTGAATGCATTGTTTTGTCCTGATGGGCAATTGTTGCTAGGCTGTGGGACATGTGTTGGTGTCAGCACAGTGGCTGTGCAGGTCATGGGGATGGCCAGAAGTACTTCTAGCTAACAGCTTTCAGCTGGAAAGAAAGAACAAGAAGCAACTCTGACTGTGGCCAAAGGCAGGAATTGTGAACTGGGGAGTGTCTATCCGTTCTCCTTATGGCCTAAGGGAAACAGAGAGAGAGAAGCTCCTCTGTATTTCACCTACTTGATATATTTAAAGATCTGGTTGAAAGTTTAGATTAAATACATTTTCTTTCCCAAACAGGTGTGAAAGCAGCCAAGAGTCCTACAGAACTGTCTTCCATGAAGTTAATTATAGCCTCAGAGTAAAATTTCCTCAGCATCTAAAGAGATTTGAAGTGAGGATGTTCACCTTTTTACAGAGCTCAACTCTGTTACAAGAGCAGGTGAGATGTCTCTCTGGTCTGGCAGCTGATGCTGTGTTAAGGTATCAGCTGGCCAGGTGCTGCCTGGGGCTATTAGACACCTCCTTGAAAGCATAACACTCTAAGAGGAGTGCATAAAGATTAGCCACTTAAGTGTTCAGTTCATAAAACAGAATTATAGAATCATTAAGGTTGGAAAAGATCTCCAAGATCAAGTCCAACCTCTGACCAAATACTGTCATCCCCTCTAAACCATATTGTGAAGTGCCACATCTACTCAGTGTTTGAGTGCTTCCAGAAAAGGTGGCTCCACCATTTCCCTGGGGAGCCTGTTCCAGTGCTTAACCACTCCTTCAGTAATGAAAGTTTTTCCTAATATCCAACCTGTACCTCTCCTAGTGCCACTTGAGGCCACTTTCCCCTTGTCCTGTTGCTAGTTGCCTAGGAGAAGAAGCAGAACCCCTCCTTGCAACAATCTTCATACCTTTTGTGGTCAGTACACATGGAATGCCAACTAAGACTTCACTAAACATCATATAAATATTCTTGTCTTGTAGCTGTATTTCCACTGCAGTGTGGTGATCTGCAACACTAAGCAACAGCCTTCAGACTTTCTGTGTCCAAGGAGATGCAATCCTGGGAAGCAGAGACCTGGTAAGAAAATGGGCACTTCTCAAGATATTCTTGAGTCTTTGCTCAGCTGCATAGCATGTGGTCTCATGAGCTGTGTCAGATGACAAGACTTAGTCCTTGCATGTGCTGTACAGAGAACTAAAACCTGAAATGTCTTACCAGCCTGCAGTGCAGAACCACATCTACGTGGGCAAGTGTCATCTGGAGCAGTGCTTGTTAGGAAGGAAATCAACTAGTAGAGGTTGGTGTTGATCTTAGTTATACTACTAAATACCAAGTGTACTTGGTGCTGCTGTAACCTAATAGACTTGTGTGCCTGTCTTCCCCCTGCAGGTGAATATACTGATTTCTGTCAGAGACTAAACAGGAACTACTTTAGTTTTATGAAGTTGCAATTAGGTGGCCTAAGCAAGCACAGCCTGCTGCTCAGGTTTACAAGTCATTTTGACAGTATCTAGTGGGAGAATAGATTGGCAGCGTCTACTGGGTCACCTAACCAGTATTGGACATACCTTTGTCTTTAACTTAAATTAGTCCTACTCTCCTCTGTTCCTCTACAGTGTCAAACTCTTTTATGTGACTTGCATCGACCTAGTCTGCTCAGCTAATATGTCCAAAGCTTCTATCTAGTCACTTTGCATTTGGAAGCATATGTTTTAGGGAAGGGAGAAAGGGGCAACAGGTGTGAAGTCAATTGTAAATCACTGAGGTTTTTTTAAAGCTACAGTATGAACAAAGGATTGTAGGGAGCTTAATGTCAGTAAAAGAAAGTGGGGTTTTTTGAAGCAAGGTGAGCATGAACATATTTAATCCTGTAGTGGTTATTGACAGAAAAGTTGCAAACCATGAGTCTTGCAGAAACATTTGTGACTCTGCAATGTCAAGTTGCCTTCCCTAGGTGGGGTGAAATCACTCACAGATAGCATCAGTGACTGTTTAGCTGAGTGTGCTGTCAGCCTAAATAAAAACAAGAAAAGAAAACCAAACACTTTTAGTGAAGTTTTGTAGTAGCAGTAATGATAGTACATGGACTTAATCTGCAAAGTGTTAAGGATTCTTTCTTACTAGATAACATGATGTTCAGCGTTTAGGAGCTCCTGACAGATTATTCTGGGGGAGATTTTTCTTGGGTTTTTTTTCCCCTTTTTTGGTCCTTTTTTTTTTTTTTCCCCCAAAGGGGATGGAAACTTCTTGGTTCCTTCTTTGCATCTGAATAGTGGTGTCAAAAAACAGTCCAGATTCAATACTGTTTTTTCTTGGTCTAAGGAAAGCTATTGTGCAGCATGAATCATTATCCCTTAGGGCTAAATATGCAATAGTGGATGTCTGCTTTTTAACTTTATATTAAATTGAATTGTACAACAGGAAATTTCTGTAAAGGCTAACTTGAGTAAGAAGTTATTTTGTCGATCTCTTTGTATTTTGTGAGAAAGCATGGAGCTGAAAAGATTGTATCTCTGTTGCTACAATACTTGTACAGAGATCCCACTAAACAGTTTGCACTATAATTACAGCTCATGTTTGTAAGTCTTTTTTTTCTTCCACTTGCCTGCTAAGCATATCTATAGTAGATGTCTTATTGTCATTTCTGGAAAAATCTATGTGAGCTTCATGATGAGGAACATATCAAGTCCCTAGCTGTACATCAAGACTGTTTTCCAATAGAGGAGCTTACTGTGCCATAGGACTCATTTTGCTACTCCTGTGGCAGTTGAAGACTAAAGCCATGGAGCTGTGATATTGAGGAATATCAGCATGGGAATAACAGGCAAATACAAAATATACAAGCCTGACTGCAGACTTGAAAATTTGGTGGGTTCATGCTTTCCCCTACATTAATTCAGTGGGCTGAGTACTAGCTATTCCTCAGTCTGTGGGCACAACCTATTGAGAAATCAAAGGAGATACCTATAATGAGCTGCTAGGGCTATGTACCTAACAAAACTTAAGCATAGGCACGTTAAATGGTATGATGACTTCCCCGTGTGTCTTGCATCATGCTGACTGTCTCCCCAAGAAATGAGACTGTTATGCAGTGTTTTCTCCAGCTAAGTGAGTACCAATCTTTGTCTGCCACAGCAGTTCTATACCAGCATGGTGTTGACTGCCTTGGGTAGCCTGAGCCACCTTCTCCCTTCTTACAGCTGTGGGGAGGGAAAAATGTATCAACTAAAGACTGCTGTGAGAACCAAGCATGCAGTTGGACAGCTTAATTTGGTACTGTTAACTCTGTCTTGGTTGTGGCTTCCTGGGTTTCTGATTCCTTTCTTCAAACCAAAACTCAAGGACAAAATCACTTAGGAACAGAAGTCTGGTATTTACAATCTCATCTAAGGCACCTTCATTTTGTTTCGTAATATTAGTGAATACCTTGAGATTCTTTATCTGTTGATGGGGATTTAAGAGTCGCAGAAAAGCAAAGTGATGCCCAGGTACACTGTAGCTCTACCCTTTAGTCTTCTAAAAGCTTTGTTGTGTGTCACCTTGCAAGACAAAGCATGTAAAGGACCATCTTATCTATTAACCTTTTTGATATGTGGGAAAATTCAAACATGTTTCCCCTCCATGGCTGGACTAAGATTTATGTAAAGCTTCTTGTCAGGTTTTCCAACAGCATGTGAGACACACAAAATCCATTTAAATATCAGTAAAATCTTTTAAAGACATGACAGTAATACTTTCTCCTCCTCAGAGAGGTGTCTGTTTATACTAAAATTGG